TCTGTAATGGAATACATTTTAAAAGTAACCTTCCCAACACTGGTCACTGACAACACAAAACACTCAATGTCAATGATCTCCTGCTGGGCAATGAAAGACAAACCTTATCCTGCAGATTATCCAAAGGCAGGTTTTATCCTTTATTTAACCCTCAATAGAATCAATATTGTGAATTAATGAGACCTAAAATAAATTTAAAATGTCATTCTTTACTTCCTGCAGTTCCCGCAGTCTCCCTGCAGAGGGTAGTAGGGCACTGTGGTGCTGTGTGAGACCTCTGACCTGTGGTGCTGTGTGAGACCTCTGACCTGTGGTGATGCGGTGCAGTGGCAGGGTGACGTAGGTCAGGTGTGAGTACAGCAGGAAATAATCCTCTGCCCGGTTCAGTTTGAGCCACGAGCCGACCAATGAGCGCCCGGTGCCCGACAGCGAGCGCGAGCGGAGGTTTGTGGTGGTGTGAAGATCTGAACACAAAAAAAATTTGAAAAAAAATGTTATTAATAAACCATTTTTTGTAATGCTCTTAAATGTTTTACAGAGTAAATTAAAGATTTTTGCCCACTGAGGGTTAAAATTCAGCTTTAAGTAAAACCAGAACATGTCATGGCGCCATTTTACACTTACTGTCATTAAATTCTCCAGCTGGGTTTCTTACAGAGGAGCAAGAAGTTTGCTTACAGGAGGTTCAAAGATGATCAGATATCATTGTGGCTCTGACCATAAACCATGCCAACATATGATCGGGTAGCGTTTTTTTTCCCCCCATAACCGACCAAGCAACATCCAGGAACCCAAAGTCTGAATTCCAGGACGAGTTTAGTTTATTGAGCCACAACCGCACAGGTTACATTTAATATTTTAGAGCTTTACTGATCTGTTTTGAGAACTCTAGGTTGCTAGTTTGTGACACATTCATGTTTCTGGATCTTTGATTACTTAAGGGGGAAAAGGAGATTTTGAACCTGCTGCTGAGAACTGCTGTATATTATAAACGACTGTTTAATGATCTTTTATTAATGTTGTGTTATCACAAAGAGACTCACAGCTAACCTGATTAATAAACCGAATTAATTCAGGAAAACTTTACCCACACTTGTGGTGAGCGTCTCAGGAATGAGACAGAAGTGCCAGTCTTTACCTTCATCTTCCTCCTCCCTGAAGAACTCCTCGCTGTCATTGGCAGAGTGAGACTTCTTCATCTCGGCGATCCGGTTTCGAGGCATCTTGCGCCTCAGAGACGGCGAGAAGAAGGAGGGGCGGTTCTTCTCCGGGGTTGGAGGTGTGCTGAACGATGTCACCTGAGGAAGGACAGCAGGTTAGAGTCCACACAGGAAGTAAAATTTAATCACATGTCACTGAGACCTCGTTATACAGAAGTGAGACGGGGAGACCGAAGAGATGTTTCACCGGCCGAAATCCTCAGTTTCATTTTATTCGTTTGCAATCCAACCTTAAATTCCCGATGTACTGTAAGTGTAGGGCTGGTGACCAGAGCAGGGACACGAAAGCTCATAAATTCTCTAAAACCCAAACTGTTTGTCTTGTTGGGAAGTTTCACATTAATAAAGTGAGTCACATACAGAGATCGGAACCATCGATCGAGACATTTAAAAGCCCCAAAGGAGCAAATGTTTGGTTTTTTGTTTGTTTTTAAAAACAGAGGCACAAATAAACCCAAGAGCAGGGGCTCAAAGGTGGTTTCATAAAGGATGGCATCATCAGCAAAAAAGTATACTTTGTGTTCAGCTGTAAAGTCTTATTCAAGTAAAAAAAACAAAAAAAAAAACAACAAATATCAGAAGGCCTAATGTCGAACCCTGGGGGACATCTTACTCTGTAACAGCAGAGAAATTTGGGCTTTTCACGGACAACATTGTGGATTATATTTAATAAAACATCACAGGAGTCTAGGCTTTTCTGTCTGTGGTTCACAGGTGATTAGTGGTTTAATCTGCTGATTGTGCATCATTGTCCTGCTGGTGATGGTGGGATGATATGGAGCTTGTATTACAGAGACACAAGCCAACCTGAGATAAAATTAATTAGCAATTAACTGTGTAAATATCCTAAAATTCACACCTGACCAGCACCAGATTTGTTGGTAATGAGGAGAAAGTTTAGCTGGAAATCAGCTGAAACGTTTTCTTCTACATCTCTGTGTGATGTCCTGATGTTCAGAGAGCTTCCTGTTGGAACGTCGGGCAGTTTGAAGTTTATTTGTGGGGAAGAGCTGCTCCAATTAAGCCGAGTAAATTTATTCCTTCAGCTCTCCCATCGCTCCCGTCCTTGTTTCAGTAAACACCGTCACATCCTTTGGTTTTTTGGTTCATGTGAAGTTTTTTTTAAATTATTGTTCAGATCAATAATCAAAGAGTGGATTCATGCTGAGCTCTCTTTCCAGCAGACGTCTCTGCGAGAGACACATCCGGCTGTTAAATGATGCACAGTCAGTCCAGCTGCATGTATTATTGATCTCGACCTGATTTCGTCTGAGCAGAGCTTCGTGCCGTTCACTCGACTCACTTCCTGAGTTTTGGGGTTTTCTGTTCTACTTCTCAAAGATCTTGGACACAGAAGTGAAACCACACCAGTGGTTGCCCGAGCCGAGCAGGTTTTCATCACAGCTCTGTGATGGAGATGAGCTTCAGGTGAAGACCTTCAGATTTCATTTAAGAGGTTAAACTGAAACATTTAATTAGCTGCTGAGGGATTACAGTCCTCTGTTGTAACTGGACAATTCAATCAAAAGCCTTTTAATGCACAGATGTGGAGAGATGTGGGCTGTTCATTCACTTTTCTTTTTAATGTAAGCAGGAACAAAGGTCTGGACATGATTACAAAGGTGTCTAAGAAACTCTGATAGCAGTAAAACAGACTGTTGGATGGATTTTATGCAGAATGATCCTTTTATCACAGCATAAAGCTAAGTGTACCATATCCAGCTCTACTGTAAAGAGGTTTTATAGAGCAAGCACAGGCTTCAGTACAAGGTTCAAACTGTTTATCGGCCTCGGGGATGAAAGTGAGATCAGACTTCAGCAGCTCAAAAAACAATTGAACTGAAACTCCACCTGCAGTGTTGTTCTGTGGTGGATGATCACACGAGCCTCCCTGTGGTAACTCAGATTTCAACCTAATCACAGCTGGTCTCATCCTCTGAAGAAAAACTCGGTTTGAGACATAAAGCAGTCCCCGTCCTCTCCACAGACTATTACAGTAAAATGCTTACGTTCAATCACATTTGAGGTCATGAACACAGCTGTTCAAAAACAAAACCTTCAAATCTGTCGTGGAGACATTCAGAGGAGAAAAATGAAAAATCTCAGGACCGAATATTTAAACTGCATCTTCTCCCTCACCCTCTCGTGCATGGGTGACACCTGGTCCTCCTCGGTGCCGCAGGGGGAGGTGTTGCCGGTTGGCACCCTGCTGACGGCCATCTCGGCGTGACCTTTGCCCTGCGGCCCCTTCATCCTCACAAACTCCATGTTGTTGTACTTGTAGAAGCCGAAAGACATCCGCTGGGCCATCTTAGCAGCAACGCTCACCTGAAACATGACACGGACGTCAAACTGCTGACAGTTGATTGACCAATCACACCTGAGAGCTTCAGAATCTTCAGGTGTTCTTAGCCCAAGTGTCAAGACTTCATAAATGTGAGCATGCTAAATGAGGCTACACAAGAACACATTCACACTCCTGTAGCATGTTTCTGCTAGTGTAGTGCAGGTGTTCATGTGTGCAGGTGTTCATGTGTGCAGGTTTACGCTCTGGTCTCTAACCCGGTTGTCGTAGACCTTCTTGAGCGCCTCGTAGCGGATCGAGCCCTGGAAGATGACGCCCTGGAAGGTGTTGCTCTTGTCGCTTGCCACCAGCTCCACGCACACCATCTCACCCTCACCCACCGTCATGTCACTGAACACCTGCACAAACAGAAGGTCACATGACTTCACCTGCAAATGTCCCGTGTCTTTCTGTGCGGCAGCAGAAACATCGACTCGCGACTGTGGTCAGCAGCGTTTCCCTTGCCTTGGAGGATCATCGGTTTCTGTCCCAGAGCAAACTCTGCTGCTTGTGGCGGTAAAAACGCTGCGCTTGTGCACAAGCTCGTTTTTAAATGGATGGAGTCACGCTTCATCAGCTAATCTGCGCACCAACCAGGAGCTGATTTCAGTCACCACCCTCACTCCTCCCCCACCTCCCCTCCTCAGTGTGACAGCACTGTGAGCTCAGAGACGTTTCACCACAGAAGCTCTGCATGAGCTCAAAACATCCTTTTACCTCCTCAAAGTTGTCGATCATGAAGAAGATGTTGGGGTAGCTCATCTTGGACTCCTCCCCTTTGCTGTCCATAGCATGTTTACTCGGAGATGCGAACACTTCCTGTGAGCACAGGAGGGGGAAATAAAATGAGACAAATCACGGGTGGGATGAGAGAAAGTTGGTGGCTTCATCAGCTCGAGCTGCTGCAGAGCGCCTACCTGACATTTCTTCTTGTGGATGTGGATATCTCCTGCGTCTGAGCGCGTGCAGACAGCGCACGTCACCACATAGTCCAGCTGGAAGAGGGTGCAGGATTCAGGTTAGTGAGGACAACAAAAAACAGTTTAAAGATTATTTTTTAAACTTTACTGCTCTGCACCTTCTGAAGGATGAGGTTCAGGTAGACGCTCTCCTCCCAGTCGATGTCGGGGTCGCCAAGGCCCGGAAGCTTCTTGGAGTCCCTCCTGTAGACCTCCACCTCCACCTGAACCACAGCACAGAGCCTCCATCAGCACCACGTCTGAACACACTTACCATCAGACTCAGCTCCTTCAACCTTACTTCCTCCCAGATTTCCTCTCCTACTTCCTCCCTTTCTTTTTCCCCATCCATCCCGCCTATACACCTACTTCCTTCCTTCCTCCGCCGTTTCCTTGTCCACTCTGTGAATCTCTCTGGTCTTGAGGGAAATACAAGTTTTCCACAAGCCAGCCTTCATATCACTCAGAAACCATTTAGAGCGTAGGAGCGGTTGTCATGGTTTCCCTGTGAAGCGCTTGTGTGTGTGTGTGTGGTTTTTATGTGGCCTCAGATCCTCCTGCTTTGATGAACTGAAACTGAAAAAGTGACGCTGATTCAGCAAAAACACGAAGCTCATTTCAGGTCAAATGACTCTAGTTTTCCATTGTGTGTGTGTGTGTGTATGTGTGTGTTGCAGGAGATTATGATCCTGATTTCACAGGAATGCAAACTTCATGAACATTTTCTGACCTGAACGATGAAGCAAACACGTCACAGCAGCGTGACCTGCTTTATGGCAGATGCCATTTTGATTTCACATCTTAAACCAGGTGTAGCTTCTTCAGTTTGATGTCATGAACCATTTCTGGTCCAGATGTTCAGTCTGACCTCACGCAAACTCCAAGGGTTAAAGCGATTGAAGCTCCAGGCATCCATCAGAGAACATGAAACCAATGAAGAAGAACCAAAACCCGCAAAAAGGTCAAATCACACGTCACACACACTGATGCCAGCTGAAAGATTACCCGGAATGCACTTTTTGAATGATCAGAAGCAGAGGAGCTGGTGTCTGCTGCAGGTTGTTCACACTCACACTGATGCTCACAGCTGGTTAAACTTACAAATGCTGGAAAAAGGTTCCTGAGCTTAAATAAGTTTTCCCTGGAAACATTACAAATGTGAAGGAGAAAGGTTCCCAGAGCTGTTTCTGCTCTGGGACAGGAAGCAGAGACCTGGACACAGCGGGGGGGGATGAAGGACGACCAGAGCCTGAGCTCATAAAATATAATTATGACGAGCAGGGATTAAGAGCAGGACGAGGCTGAGATTTAGGGCATCATGAGAAATCTGCAGGTTTAAACGTTTGATCAGAAAGACAAAAACTAAAAGATAATGAGTTAATCTCAGATTAATTTCAGTTACTGAGACTAAGGCTTCTGTCTCATCAGCTGCTTCCATTGTTTTTCTGATCTGCTCTTCTTCAGGTTCTGTTCCTGTGACTGAAGCTGGATTCTTCAGAGGACACAGAGTGATGGGAAGCTGATGGCTGCTGTCGCTGCCGATCGTCTCGCCGGCTGGTATGGCGTCTGCTGTCTGTATCGTCTGATCTGCTGTTAGTCTGACTGACAGCCACAGACGCTGCAGTAAAAATGAACCACACTGTCCACCTGTGGGCGAAGCCGCTCTGCTGCAGACTCTGACAGATGTGATGATTAGATTTATCTAAGGCCAGAGCCACGGAGGAAAGTGTGAGCACCTCAGAGAGCAGGAAGTCCTCTGGGGTCTTTTCAGGGTTGATTGTGGGAAAGATGTAACCACTCTGGGTCGGTGCTTTGGATAACCGAGCCAGCATCTTAGTGGTTAAAGTTTAGTTCTCTGATTTTCCTTTTTTCTGTCACATATTCTACTCTTGTGGTGGACAAACTATCATAACCACATCCAAAATTTGCAATATGTCATTCAATGGGCCAAAAACTCACAGGTCAGGTGCACCGAAGGTAAAAATACAAAAAACTACAAATAAATGAAGGAGATGCAGGAAAGGGTCTGAAAAACTCTGCATTTTCACAATAAAAGTAGTAGGAAAGCTCAGGGCAAGGGAGCGATGGTGGGTCAAAGTCTCCCTCTGAATGATCCTCACATGAACACCAACGTTACACAACCACTGCAGCTCACAGCGAGCCTGAACATGGTTTATTTTAATGCTGCTCCACATCCAGACCAGCAAGCCATCCATTATTCACCAACAGAGACACAAATGCAGCCTCACATCCATCATGTCTCACCGCCTCATTCACGTTTCTCTGAAACCTTTTATTTTGAAATCCTGGCCCTCAGGCTCTGCTGGTGCTCTGCAAATGTCTGAAACGTGAGCGATGATGAATCTTTACATCAAGTGTCTTGTCACCTTCTTGCCCTCGCTGTTGTCGGCGCTGACGTAGGAGAGCTTCCGGCGGACGTAGAACAGCATGTCGTCCTGTCGCTGCGCCCACTTCTCCATAAAGTACGTGGAAAACATCCAGGTCCAGAAAACGATGCGGTCATCTTTAAAACAGCCTGCAGAGACAAGAAACATGAGGTCAAAACAACAAGTCAGCACGAGAATTCAGGTTAAAGCAGCTTCATGCAGATTTTTAACAGTCTGTGGAACGATTTCTGAGTAAATGACTGGGATGGATTAGACATGACTGTCTGAGCATGCTCACTGGCGCACACCACATAATCGTCCCGACACCATTATTGACCAAATTTTACTGAATTAACTCCATGTTTTATTCAATGTTACCTGAAACTATCGCGACTCATGAGGAAGGTGTTTACGTGTTTTCCCATCAACGTTTATGGGACCAGAAGCTTTTAGGCAGTCGTTGCCCCTGGTGCAGAATGCAGATTTAGGACCTAGAAGCTACGTCCATCCTTTACTTTTCTTGTTGCTTTGTTGTACACATGTATGGAATGGGCATCTTCCTGTTCTTTCCTTTCACAGTAAAAGTACTTGACATATGTGTGACTGCCCAACAAAAACCACTTTGACAGGATTCACGTTCCTTACTGTTGTGGGTGTTCCTGACTGTTAAGAGCTGCAGTGTGTAGTCAAGTACTTTTACCTGTACATACACCATTTTTCTCCACTTACGGTCTGAGTCCGGCAGTTAGAAAAAAGCCGACAGTTTATTTCATGCACATATTGCTCTCTCATGATATTTGCATAGCATTATCTAATTGGCTAACAGCTGTCACCAATTGTGACATGACTGATGTTTCAAACGTTGAATAACTAAATAAATGAATACATTTTGGTGCTGTGTGACATCACAGCGTTGAAAACGAAGGAAAGGCGAGACCAGAGAAGCCTGAAACACGTCCAGTGATTCCTACCTTACACTTACACCACAGGCTGCTCGAGGAAGAAATATTTGTTCTCCAACTGCTAACAAAATCTGGCCTCAGTTCAAGCTTCTTTATAAATTTTGGCCTTTCAGAGGAACAAAAACAGAAAAGGGGAAGAAACTATTCGGCAGCAAGAGTTCCTTCAGCAAAAATACATGCATGAGCATTTCTTTACTCATATCGAGGAACATAACAGACAACCGTGACAGTTCAGTCATTTTTAATCCAACATCAGCACCGATCTTCCTGATCTATGGACAGAATCCAGCAGCTGCTGATGTCAAGCAGCACACAAGTGGTATTTAGGACAGCAGTACTCCTCAGAGGTTTAAACCAACCTGCAGCCACGGGAAACAATCAGATGATTAATTAACCAAACATCCAGGTTCAAGGTCTGCACTTCAATAAAAGCTTTAACTACAACTGTGACATCACAAAATCTGAAACTGTTCCACAAAAATCAAATTTTAAAATAACCTTTTTCATTCAGACGGGCTTCAAAAACCCGAGCACTGACACTAAACCTGGACTTAAACGTTTCAAAGACCTTTCCCTGTGAATATGGTGTCAGTGAGTGTTTAATGTCTGAAAGCAGCTCAGAGGAAGTGTGCTTTGTTCACACTCTGTCTCTAAAATCTATTATTCCATTATTCATCTCCAGCTTTTGTTCAGATCCACAGTTATTTTTTCCTTATGACCAATAAAATCAGCTCATGCATTATTCACAGGCTGCTGGATTTCTACACACGCTTTTATTTTGAAGGATCAAACAGGGCCGAGCGTGAGAGGATACAGACACCAATCGATTTCATACTGACGCTCTGTGTTTCACTCGGTATCGACCCCCTGTCCTCCGTCACCCCGGGTTCCTTGCTACCTTTTTACAGGCCGGAGGCACCTGCCTTGTTGCTTAGCAACAGTTGTCAGGCAGTTGCCAAAGAATGACTCTGCATCGAATTAAACTTCCTGCGAGAGCTTCTCTTGCAGATAAACCTGGAGAGCAGCAGGAGAAGGTCAGCGGGTCAGACGGCTGAACCGGAGCCAATTAAGATTCACGTTTTTGCTAATTTTGATTTAATTAAAGAAAACTGGTGAACTTTGATTCCTCACACAGTTTAACATGTTTTAAATTAAACACATCGATGCTGAGCTGTGTGTGTGTTTGGATGTTTGTGGGGTTGTTCCTGTCTGTGATTGGCTCTTGTTGAGTTGGACTCTTTGTGGACCGCCTGCTCTGTGGATCACGAAGCCACTGTGACACTACGCCACATTTAGAAGCCTCGGCGTTTGCATTTTAG